CATTTCTTTCAAGAGGCTAATGGAACTTACATTGAGAGGGCTGCTATGTGAGAGATGTCTGATCTATGTCGATGATGCCTTGTTATGTGATCATGTGTTCAAGTTTACTGCTGGTAACCATTTGTATGGGCCATGAATTGTTGCAGGTACTCATGAACTATAAAAATCCAGGAGGGATGATAGTACAATGGACCTCAATGCTACAACAATATTATTTCATTATACGTCATCACACAGGTCTGCATCATGGAAACACTTATGGATTGTCACGTCACACAGTCCATTTATTGGGCACTATTTGGGAATTAAAGTTACTACTACAACAAAGATGTCAAATGATACTACAAAATATTTCAGTAGCTCTGGAAAAAGTAACTGAAGGACCAAAATCTAGCATGAGTGCTATTTGCTGTGCAAGTAAGGTGAAGAATGGCCAGCACAGAATGAAAAATGTAGCACTTGTATGAACAGCTAACAATGCAGGACATGTTATATTTCATTGTTATAAATCCGTGATACGTGGTTCTGAAGCTGTCATTCAGCTAGTGATCTCCAGAGCCCTCCAGCGTTGAATAGTGCAAGGACTGAAGGCCACCAAAGCATTACACATATTTGTTCTAAAATGGTAAAGTGATTCTACTGGATACATAGAAGTTTAGATGATGAATGGTGATGTAAACATTGAATAGTTGATATGCTGCTCAGAGGAAAACTGGGTAAGACAAGAAAACTCTGCAGAGAGTTGTTCGTTCTCCAGTCCTGGAGACAAATGAGGTAGTGCCAGTAGAACAGCTACACGGCAGTTCCCATGGTGATGACGACCTCCTTATAGATATAGTTGGGGTTAACTGCCAGATCAGCAGTTAGGACAACCAATATTTGTAAAGTCAGTGACTTAAATCAAGCGATCTTCTTAACTTTCCGAACTCTTAAATGGTGTTTCATGGTGAAATGTCAACAATGTGTGATCATTACTTGGTTATTTATAGAGTTAGAATAGTTTGTTGATTACAAGACTGAGGATGTTGTGAACCTTGTTTTATAAGTCATGGAGCTATTTTCAGTGGCGAGAGTTTACATAACGTAGTGCAAGAATCACTTGCATGATCTAGCCGAGTAGTGTGCAGATAATCACACGCTATTATTTGTAATATCTAGAACATTTACAGTCGACAGGAATGTGTGTGATCACTAGGATTTCTAATATGAAGGCTGAAATGATATCGCGATCCTTGCTTTCCAAGCAATGAGATGATGGGTTTTTGGTGAACATTCATAGAATGGTTTGAGCGAAGAACCACATGAGCTTGCATGCATGCAAGCGTGAAGTTTATATATCCTATAAACGCTGGTATAGATAATGTCCACATGTACAGCAAGAGAACTGTATTTTTACTTAGTGTATAACATGATCCAGGTAATGATGACTCCAAATGGAAAGTCCTGAAATTTGACTGCATTTAGGTTACTGTGATGCCAATGAATGGTGATAAACATTATAAGAGCTTGACTACATTTTTGTGGCCATCTAGGACAATAAATATATGTTACTTTTGGATATTATATTGATCCTGTGTTTGTCTAAGTGTATGTTGATATATATACCGTTGTAGACAGCATGAATATGATTCCTGGATGAAGGATTTCAGTTAAATAGTATTAGTTTGGGTGAATTCTGCTGGTAATTACATATTTTGTGAAGCCAACAGATGTGTGGCTTGTCAGCTTATATGGCAATATGTTATAGTAAAGCAGCTATCGAAATATGGTTAGCAGTGGTAGCCCTTGTTGGTTAATATGGTAACAGCACGAGAGCTGGAAGCAGTATATCTAAGACTACTAATGTACGTGATAATATACGATGCTGGTATTAAATGTATGGATGTACACATGTATGAATATATGTATATATATATGTGTGAGAAAGTGTGTGGTGTTCCACACGCATATCAATTTTACATGAAGGCTTTCGAGAACGTTGTATGACTTTAATGGATCAACTACACAAATTACAACTGCCAAGCAACAGCTGTATGAAAATGTATGTTTTATCTGAATATTGTGGCACTGAGGTGTGAAGTAAACTGTAATTACTGACCTGTGAAACATTATTTGAAGGTACACTGTATTTTTGATTAATGCTAGTGAGAAAACGTTCTTAATTTCAATTATTTCACTAATTGTACTGAGAGATATTTTTAATTTGATCAAATCGAAATATTAAATAATGGATGAAATTATCCGTAGAAAGTAAAATCCGCTGACAGTACCTTACGTCAAGGATAACTTTATCACGTCAAGGATAACTTTATCACGTCAAGAAAAACTTTATCATGTCAAGGATAATTTTATCACGTCAAGGATAACTTTATCATGTCAAGGATAACTTTATCACGTCAAGGATAACTTTATCATTTCAAGGATAACTTTATCATGTCAAGGATAATTTTATCACGTCAAGGATAACTTTATCATTTCAAGGA